GTTTGCGAAATTTTTTAAGTCATTCATACCTGCATGTAAAGCACTCTTATATTGCGGGGGTTGTTCCTTTACGTAGTACACCGAACATTTTTGTTTCTTTGATAGATTATGTTTAAATAATCTGTAACCAACCCTTAAACAACCCTTTAATAATAAATTTCCGTCTGTTTTAAGTTTGCGAAATTGTTTAAGTAATTCATACCAGCACATAAAGCACTCTTATATTGCGGGGGTTGTTCCTTTACGTAGTACACCGAACATTTTTGTTTCTTTGATAGATTATGTTTAAATAATCTGTAACCAACCCTTAAACAACCCCTTGCTAATAAATTTCAGTCCACTTTAGGTTTACGAAATTTTTTAAGTCATTCATTCCAGCATATAAAGCACTCTTATATTGCGGGGGTTGTTACTTTACGTAGTACACCGAACATTTTTGTTTCTTTGATAGATTATGTTTAAATAATCTGTAACCAACCCTTAAACAACCCCTTGTTAATAAATTTCAGTCCACTTTAGGTTTACGAAATTTTTTAAGTCATTCATACCTGCATGTAAAACACTCTTATATTGCGGGGGTTGTTCCTTTACGTAGTACACCGAACATTTTTGTTTCTTTGATAGATTATGTTTAAATAATCTGTAACCAACCCTTAAACAACCCTTTAATAATAAATTTCCGTCTGTTTTAAGTTTGCGAAATTGTTTAAGTAATTCATACCAGCACATAAAGCACTCTTATATTGCGGGGGTTGTAACTTTACGTAGTACACCGAACATTTGTGTTTCTTTGATAGATTATCTGTAACCAACCCTTAAGCAACCCCCTTTAATGATAAATTTCCGTCTACTTTAGGTTTCCGAAGTTTTTTAAGTCTTCATACCAGCATATACAGCACTCTTATATTGCGGGGGTTGTAACTTTACGTAGTACAACGAACATTTTTGTTTCTTTGATAGATTATGTTTAAATAATCTGTAACCAACCCTTAAACAACTCTTTATTAATAAATTTCCGTCTGCTTTAGGTTTTCGAAATTTTTTAAGTCATTCATACCTGCACATAAAGCACTCTTATATTGCGGGGGTTGCAACTTTACGTAGTACACCGAACATTTTTGTTTCTTTGATAGATTATGTTTAAATAATCCGTAACCAACCCTTAAACAACCCCTTGTTAATAAATTTCAGTCCACTTTAGGTTTACGAAATTTTTTAAGTCATTCATACCTGCATGTAAAACACTCTTATATTGCGGGGGTTGTTCCTTTACGTAGTACACCGAACATTTTTGTTTCTTTGATAGATTATGTTTAAATAATCTGTAACCAACCCTTAAATAACCCTTTGTTAATAAATTTCCGTCTGCTTTAAGTTTGCGAAATTTTTTAAGTAATTCATACCAGCATATAATGCACTCTTATCTCGACTCTTATATTGCGGGGGTTGTTACTTTACGTAGTACACCGAACATTTTTGTTTCTTTGATAGATTATGTTTAAATAATCTGTAACCAACCCTTAAACCACCTTTTATTAATAAATTTCCGTCTACTTTAGGTTTCCGAAGTTTTTTAAGTCATTCATACCAGCATACACAGCACTCTTATATTGCGGGGGTTGTTACTTTACGTAGTACACCAAACATTCTTGTTTCTTTGATAGATTATGTTTAAATAATCTGTAACCAACCCTTAAACCACCCTTTATTAATAAATTTCCGTCTACTTTAGGTTTACGAAATTTTTTAAGTCATTCATACCAGCATATAATGCACTCTTATCTCGACTCTTATATTGCGGGGGTTGTTACTTTACGTAGTACAACGAACATTTTTGTTTCTTTGATAGATTATGTTTAAATAATCTGTAACCAACCCGTAACAACCCTTTAATAATAAATTTCCGTCTGCTTCAAGTTTGCGTAATTTTTTAAGTCATTCATACCTGCATGTAAAGCACTCTTATATTGCGGGGGTTGTTACTTTACGTAGTACACCGAACATTTTTGTTTTTTTGATAGATTATGTTTAAATAATCTGTAACCAACCCTTAAACAACCCTTTATTAATAAATTTTCGTGTACTTTAGGTTTGCCAAATTTTTTAAGTCATTCATACCTGCATGCAAAGCACTCTTGTATTGTGGGGGTTGTTCCTTTACGTAGTATACCGAACATTTTTGGTTTTTTGATAGATTATGTTTAAATAATCTGTAACCAACCCTTAAGCAACCCTTCATTATTAAATTTTCGTGTACTTTAGGTTTGCCAAATTTTTTAAGTCATTCATATCTGCATGTAAAGTACTCTTGTATTGCGGGGGTTGTTCCTTAACGTAGTACACCGAACATTTTTGTTTTTTTGATAGATTATGTTTCAATAATCTGTAACCAACCCTTAAACAACCCTTTAATAGTAAATTTCCGTCTGCTTCAAGTTTGCGAAATTTTTTAAGTCATTCATACCTGCAGGCAAAGCACTCTTGTATTGCGGGGGTTGTTCCTTAACGTAGTACACCGAACATTTTTGTTTTTGTGATAGATTATGTTTAAATAATCTGTAACCAACCCTTAAACAACCCTTTAATAGTAAATTTCCGTCTGCTTCAAGTTTGCGAAATTTTTTAAGTCATTCATATCTGCATGTAAAGTATTCTTGTACTGCGGGGGTTGTTCCTTAACGTAGTACACCGAACATTTTTGTTTTTTTGATAGATTATGTTTAAATAATCTGTAACCAACCCTTAAACAACCCTTTAATAGTAAATTTCCGTCTGATTAAAGTTTGCGAAATTTTTTAAGTCATTCATATCTGCATGTAAAGTATTCTTGTACTGCGGGGGTTGTTCCTTAACGTAGTACACCGAACATTTTTGTTTTTTTTGATAGATTATGTTTAAATAATCTGTAACCAACCCCGTAACAACCCTTTAATAATAAATTTCCGTCTGCTTCAAGTTTGCGTAATTTTTTAAGTCATTCATACCTGCATGTAAAGCACTCTTATATTGCGGGGGTTGTTCCTTTACGTAGTACACCGAACATTTTTGTTTTTTGATAGATTATGTTTAAATAATCTATAACCACCCCTTAAACAACCCTTTAATAATACATTTGCGGCTGCTTCAAGTTTGCGAAATGTTTTAACTCATTCATACCTGCATGTAAAGCACTCTTGTATTGCGGGGGTCGTTCCTTTACGTAATACACCGAACATGTTTGTTTTTTTGATAGATTATGTTTAAATAATCTGTAACCAACCCTTAAACAACCCTTTAATAATAAATTTCCGTCTGCTTCAAGTTTGCGAAATTTTTTAAGTCATTCATACCTGCATGTAAAGCACTCTTATATTGCGGGGGTTGTTACTTTACGTAGTACACCGAACATTTTTGTTTTTTTGATAGATTATGTTTAAATAATCTGTAACCAACCCTTAAACAACCCTTTAATAGTAAATTTCCGTCTGCTTCAAGTTTGCGAAATTTTTTAAGTCATTCATACCTGCATGCAAAGCACTCTTGTATTGCGGGGGTTGTTCGGTGATTGACAGTATACAGCTAGGAATTAAGAAAACTGGTCCCGGAAGAATTTCACTTTGGAATAATGCGCCCCGTCCCCTATTTCAATAGGCGATCGTGGAGTATTCGCTTCTGGAAAACGCCCTTTCGGTACCTCGTTGCCACTAAAAAATCTCTTTCCCTAGCGCTTTTCAAAAATTGCTTCCTGAACTTGCAATAAAACTGATGGCTTCCTGGTGTTCTTAATACCTAATCGTAATCGCGTAAAACAGGAGAATGTAAAGCATAATAACAGGCAGATAGGCAACTTATATTGCATACTTATACACGAAGTAACATGGAACCCTGCACTTACTGGAACCTGACCAACGTAACGCAGCACCAGTTCAGTTAAAGGCTCGAAGGGCCAAATGTAGCGCTTACTGGAACCCACCAGTCCGAAAGCTCGAAGGACGAAAGGACCGCTACATCCCAATTCGTCCCGCCTATGCAGGTGCAGTTAAACCCCAATAAATCATCCCCTGAAACGAATATCTTTTTTAGGCAAAATGCTTGCTTCAAAAGGATCGCATATAATTCGCTATTTGTTATCGTTCTGTTCCGAATGCCATGTTACACTCGAAATTTACCCTTATTACTATATTATTGTGTCACGGCGTCAAAAACTCATACTAAAAAAGTTTGTGCCAAAAAGACTGAAGCTTCTTCTGAAGATTGAATGTTTCAAACTTTCATAATAATGATTAATATTCGCGATTACTTTTACGATGCCGACAACCGGATCAAGGCCTGCGAAAATTACGCATCATTACCCAACGTACCGTGGATATTTCGATTTTTTCCCTCCGCACATCCCAACCTTCGTATAGGCTTATATAATGACGTTAGAGGATTCTCATCGCTAATTGTAACAGATACTTACGACACTTATCCATTATTGCGCTATTGAGAAGTGCGGAGGATTACTACACAATTAACGGTCGTGCGTGTCAAATGAGCCGGATTCTTTTTTCTTCAAATGAATGTTAATTATATCGTTAATTCGAGATTACGGTTGTAGGGCTTGAAAGGTACTGCCCGAATGGAGTTTATTGTCTCGTTCGTTACGTAAATTCAGTATGTTACACAGGCCGTTTTGAAATATATATATATAT